TCTGAACTTGGACAACGTCACCTGGAATAATTTCACATTCAACTGAGAGGCAGATGTTCAGAGCACAGAATCAATTACTTCCATCAATTACTATTATATGTAACAAATTACCTTGGGTGAGGATGGGGAAACCAAGGGGCAACATTGTTGTGTTTACAAAAAAAATGCAAGAATGCTGAGAGGCAGTAGTTATGCAACAAGTTCTTAAACATTACTCTTTGGAGGGAGGTTAGTGCTTTTCCTCCTCTTTCAAAGAATCTGGAAATTTTTCTCTCTTTTTTAATTAAAAAAAAAACCACAAAAATTCCTGTGCTAGGGAGTAGGCTAGCACCTTGCTGGTTTCTTCCAGTACAAGCTGAAAGCCTCATCTGTAGTGAGTATCGCCCGTAGTGTTGCCTCAGCATCTGAAAGCTTGTAGAGAAATATAGTAATTACAATTGATAGCCAACCCAGCTCTTCCTGGCATTGTTACATTTCTGTTGTTAGTGGAATTGAAATTTTATTGCCTATCTTTTTTTGCCTTTTATCCCTAGTCCCCACATGGCCAAGAAGAGGAATGGCCTCTGCCTTCATTAAAATCCCTCAGTAACAACAGTAGGGCAGACTTACTTTTGAACATTGTTGTTGTTGTGTGCCTTCAAGTAATTTCTAAGTGCTAAGAGTACTTTAGATGCCCCCCCCCCCAGACAAAGAAATGGATTTTAGAAGAGATCAAGTCTGAACTCTCCCTGGAAGCTAAGATGATGAAATTGAGGCTGTCACACTTTGGACACATCATGATAAGGCATGACTCATTAAAAAAAAAAACAATGACACTGAGAAAGGCAGAAGCAGTAGAAAAAGAGGAAGGCCACATGCCAGATGATTGGACTCAATCAAGGAGATCACAGTCCAGAGTCTGCAGAACCTGAGCAGAGCAGTTGAGGACAGAGGGGCTTGCAGATGCCTCATTCATGGGACCACCATGAGTCGAAGTCAACTCAAGAACATCTAACAACAACAAATGATCATAACTGACAACAGAGTAACATATGACTCAGAATGTAGGCCTGTGACTCTAACAACATCTTTGCCTGATGAAGAAGCCAGTGAACCTTTGAAAGCTTGTGTGGTGTATTTTATGCTTTGGAGTTGGCCCAAAAGATATTGCTGCTTTGTGGATTTTGGATTTTGCTGTATTTTGTGGTGGCTAAATAACACAATGCTTTTCTCCTTCATCTCCAACCAGTAACAAGAATGAGTAGGGATGAGCAGATGCTTTCATGAACACTAATGCATTAGTAAAAGATAATTGCAAGCTCTGAATATGTTTGGAACTTCCAGGGAGTCTGTTATAGCAACAATAACACTTCACATTTAGTCTAGACTGTATGCCAACAGTAAATAATTCTTACTGTTTTAAAATATATTAAACTATTTAAATTTATTTTATTTAATACTGCCCTAAGTTCCTTTGATATATGGTGGCCTGTCAATAATAGACCCTAGGCAAATCACACTCTCTCAGCCTCATAGGGTGGCAATGGCACACCTCCTCTGAAGAAACTTGTCAAGAAAACCCCATGATAGGTTCCCCTTAGGGTCGTTGTAATATATATATATTACTCTTTAACATGCTAGGAGACTGTTTTATAGACTGGGAAATCAAGTGAAGAGAAATCAAGTGACTGAAATACATTTGTGACACAGTCTTATATTTTCTAAAGATATGGCAAATGCACAGTGAAAGGAGAAAGGAAAGATAATGACATCAGATAATGAAACAGTGAAACTCTTGACATAAATTAGCCAAACAAGGGTTTGTCATAGTTAATGCTGTCCATCTGTGCCAATGGGGTATAAAGTGCAGTGTATTGATCCTGGAGCATAGAAATTTGACCTACATTGCACGTGTGTGTTTGTGTGACTATGTTAAAGATATTACTTTATCCGAAGGTGGTGGTGGTGGTGGTTGTATGCCTTCAAGTATATTCTGGCCTATGAACACCCCCAGGTGACTCTGTCACAGGGTTTTCTTGGTAAGATTTGTTCAGGGGGAATTGCCTTCCTCTGATGTTGATAGAGTGTGACTTGCACAAGGTCACCAAGTGGGTTTCCATGGGCTATGTGGGGATTTGATAGTCTCAGTCTGGACTGTCTTACAAATCTGTTATCAGGCTTATGTGAGATGTCACCATTAGTGATGGTGAATCTTTTAGAGATCAAGTGCCCAAACCCAAGGCATCCTCACACCAGGTGTTACCTGATGGTGGGTGGGGGACTTCTGGGGGGCTGGGACTTCCATGTTCCACAGGGTGGAACTTCTGGGGATGGGACTTCCCCAGAGACAGCTAAAGGCCTGGGAGAGTGGGGGAAGAGGAGGAATAGGTGCACACCTGCTCCTCCTCTTCCCCCACCCTCCCATCTCTCCGTGTGCCCTAAGAAATGGCTTTGCGTGTCAGAGAGGGCACGGGTGCCATAGCTTCACCATAACAGATCTATATCTTCTACTCTTGTCCTGTTTGAAGAGTGTGAAGGAAAACAAGTGTGAAACAAATAATTGAATTATTTGCCCATTATTTTCATATAAGTTGTAGCCAAAAGTCTAGTATGGGGAATTTTATTTAGCTCAAATCAAGAGGGGGTCGGCAACTAGGACCCTATGAGACCATCTCCCATGTGTATACCAAGAGTCCAGTGGATTTTAAGAATTGAAGCAGAGGCAGTATCCTCAAATTGAAGGGTTGTTTATTGAACAGATAGAAAATCATGCAGTGACCTACATGCACACACATACTCATGCAGGGCCTTAGGAAATCAGGGGTTGGGAGCCGAGACAGTGCTGCGGCGATACTTACTATCGATGAGGCCTCTTCCGGACTCCAATTGGTTGAAGGGGTATGAGACACAACTATCCCGAGAACATGGGTTGGACAGAAGTGCTGGTAACCAGATCAGAGGGCAGACTGACGTGAGGTCCCTCTGCACCCCAATTAGTGATGCTGAGGGGGGAAATCCAGGGGCTTTTAAAGGTAAAAACAATCCCCTGGCAATGTTCTATACTGCTCAGACAAAGGAGTTTGACTGCTCAGCCATAGCTCTGATTGTTTGGCTAGGGTTTAGACAAAGGTATTAGATTGCCTAGGTAAGGTAATCTGGTCTGACAATATTCAAGGGGAAAAAAGAGGGGATGGAGTTGTTTGGTCAGCCCATCGGGCAAAACATTTCAGCCATTATCACCTATTCTTCTGATTATGGATGTGATGATAGTCTATTTTCACCTTCCACATTATTTGCCTGGCTCTGTAATTTGGGGATTTTCAACTGTCCAACTGACCCGGGCATGACCTCTATGCCGTGCTATGGAGCCACACGGAGTTCACTGTAGAGTGCATCTAGGGCCATGTGGAATTCACACACACACCAAAATTCAGAAAAAATGCACTTATGGTAACAAAGTATAGTCAGCCTGCTATAGCCATCAATTTTTTAAGCATGGATTTAACCATCCATGGCATGAAAATATTTTTTAAAAAAATATAAATTCCAGTAAACGAACCTTGATTTTGCCATTTTATATAAAGGAAGCCATCTTTTATATAAAGGAAACCATCTTACTATACCATTTTAATTAATGGGACTTCAGCCTCCATGGATTCTTGCATCCACAGAGGTCCAGGAACCAAATCCCATCAGATACCAATTGTATATTATTTTTCATGATTGGCATTTGAATTGAAGATATTGCTCATTTGAATTTTTTGTTTTATATTCAGGAAACTATACAGAGTGAAGGCAGATTTTTTTAAAGCTTGGTATTTATTTAAATTCTCAGTGTCTGTGTGGTTTTATGTCAAAGGTATAAAGCAAATGGAGGTAACATGTGAGCCCCAGTTTTGGGGTTTGGGGGATTTTGTTGAACTCAGCTGCTGTTTGTTCTGGGTTTGGAGTCAGGCATATAATATAGAACTATGGTCCACAATTTGCACTGACATCCCATCCAAGAGTTAAGGGACATAAGGGATTCTATTTTTCTATTGAATCTAGAATTCTATGTTGCTGACTCTGTTGATTGCAAGATTGGTAGATTGGCAGTTCAAGGCCCGGGTGCTACATGGTGGGGTGAGCTCCTGTCACTAGTCCCAGCTTCTGCCAATCTAGCAGTTCGAAAGCATGCAAATGCAAGTAGATAAATAGGTACCACTTTGGTGGGAAGGTAAACAGCGTTCTGTGTAATCATGCTGGCCACATGATCGCAGAGTAGTCTCTGACATGCTGGCTCTTTGGCTTAGTAACAGAGATGAGCACCACCTCCTACAGTCAAACATGACTTGGCAACCTTGAAAATGGGGAATACCTTTACTTTTTTATTGTGGGAGTCAGCATGGTGTAGTGGTTTGAGTGTTGGACCATCTATGGAGGCCAGGGTTCAATTCCCGGCTCAGTCATGAAACCCACCAGTTGACCTTGGACAATTCACATCCTCTCAGTCTCAGGGGAAGGCAATGGCAAAACCCCTCTGAACAAATTTTGCCAAGAAAGCCCCATAATAGTTTTGCCTTGCTTTGGGGTTGCCATAAGTCAGAAATGTACTCCATCTATTTTTTTGGCAGTCATAGTCCAGTGCTCAAATCACTATGCCACACTGGCTCAAGGTAAGCCTATCACAGGATTTTGCTTGGCAAGATTTGTTCAGAGGTGGTCTTGCCTTTGCCTCCTTCTGAGGGTGAGAGAGTATAACTTGCCAAAAGTCATCCAGTAGATTTCCATGACCAAGCAGGGATATGAACCCTAGTCTTCAGAGTCTTAGTGCAATGCTCAAACCACCCTTGACTTATCCATGGGTCATATCAAAATCCATAATTTTTGCCACCAAATCTGCCCTTGATTTATACATAAGGTTGACTTATAGTCAAGTAAATATGGTAAATGGATGGATGGATGGGTAGTTAGAGAAATAAATTTTCTCATCCCCAAAAGGATTAAGGTAGCAATCCAATGCCAGTTGTTCTGCAAGGAGAGACAGCATGGTTTAGTGGTTTGAGTATTGGACTGCGACTCTGGAGACCAGGGTTCAAACCCCTGCTCATCCATGAAACCCACTGGGTTACCCTAGACAAGTCACAATCTCTCAGCCTCAGAGTATGGCAATGGCAAAGAAACGTGTCACAAAGACCCCATAATAGGTTTTCCTCAGGTCATTGTAGGTCAGAAAAATCTTGAAGGCACACAACAACAAACAGCAAAGTGCATTGAAGTCAGAAGGAGTGACCTGTCTCCTACTTCCCCCTGTTCAAAAGGGCTGGGCCACAAAAAATCCCCAGTTATACTGATTAAACTTCACCTAATCTCCACCCTATCCCTGCTCACCGAAAGTCAATTTGAAATAAAAAGGTCTTATACTGCTTCTGGAATCACATAGATATAGGCTTCAGTAAGACGTCAGGGGAAAAGAATTCCAGAGATGAAGAGACATTTTTTTTCTTTCTCCCCCTCCTCAGAAAAATCTTATGTGCTCAACCAATACTGCCCTCCTTGCTAAAGTATGAAAAGTGCACTTAAAATAAAGTGTGCAATTAATACATTTGGTGAGTAATCCACACCGAGATTAATAATCAGGCTTGTGTAATAACTAATGATTGAACCTTTCATTTCATGTAGGAAAATATGTATCACTTGGGACTAATCTTTACGCTGTTTATTTTTTCTCCACACTAAGTTTTATGGTAGAACACATTTAAGGCAGCTGCAGATTGGATAATCCAAATATAGGGAAAAGCTCATATGTGATCAATTTTGCACCTTAAGAATCTGACAGCATTTATTTGCTGGGAGAAATAAATAACTTCAACTTATCAGCAAGTTGGAGAGCACTGAGATCAGTCCCTTTGTTTTGGGTTGCACACTTTACACTTCTGGCAGTTTTACCTTTCCTCCAACATGAGAAGAAAATATGAATGCTGGTTATTCTGTACGTTTAATCTCACAAACCAAAGATCAGTACTTGAACTCTCTGCCACCTCTGGTCACATTCATTTTGGAAAGCCCCTTGTCCTCAGAGGCATATTCCTTTTATTTGCTGTATAACTGCTTGCTCTGCCTTATGCTCCAAAGGTTACATTTTAAAATTTCAGAATATTTACAGTTGCCCCTCCCAATTTGTGGGGGATCCATTCTGGAACCCCCCCCCCCAAAAAAAATAGTGCCTCGCAAATATTCGAGCCCTATTGAAACTAATGGCACATGCGCCCATGGCGCATGCACAGCCATTTTGTGTATAGCTGCTTGTTCCTCCCCGTGAAGAGTGAGACTATGGATTCAAAGTACGCCAATGGGGAGGGACAACTGTAATACCATTTGAAGTGGATTGGGTGGAAATAATAGTAATAGCATAGCGTAGTGATTTGACTGTTGGACTATGACTCTGGAGACCAGGGTTCAATTCCCAGATCAGCCATGAAATCCACTGGGTGACTTTGGGCAAATCACAATCTCTCAGCCTCAGGGGAAGGCAATGGCAAACTTCCTCTGAACAAATCTTTCCAAGAAAACCCCATGACAGGTTCGCCTTAGGCTCACCATAAGTTGGAAATGACTTGAATGCATACAACAAGAAAAATCGAACAGGCAATATTAACTATTACAATAAGCTATTACTGGGGTTAGGAGCAGGGTTGGATGAATGGATACACTATCCTGGAATTTTTAACCATGTGTTTGTGGATCCAAAATCTATTTACCATGCTCCATAATATATATAACTTTGAGGACTCTGGACCACATGCTAAACCTGAAATTTTCTAGTGTTTTTACATTGCCTTCACATCTCCCTGAAAGGCAAACAGATACAACATTCAATGTAAAACTGGTACCTCAAAACAAGGTAAACCGGAAAAGTGAAAAAGAAGTGTATGACTTATGCAAATCAAACTAACTAAAAAAAACCTTCTAGGATTTAAAAAAACAACAACAGATAACAAATATATTATGCCGTTAGGCAGGCCAATAAAGTGGATTTTTGTTTGAATTTGCTAAATGGCCAACACAGCTACCCCTGCATGTTCAACAACAGATAAGTAAATGTAATCATCTTTCAGTACAGTCCCACATATGGATGCGTTATGTATGCCTTTAAGTCATTTCCAACTTATGGAGACCCTAGGTGAACCTATCCTGGGGTTTTCTTGGCAAGGCTTGTTCAGAGGAGTTTGCCATTGCCTTCCCCTGAGGCTGAGAGAGTGTGACTTACCCAAGGTCACCCAGTGCTCCAACCACAGCACCACCAAATTCAGTGGAACTTGAAACAGGACTTCAAATGGTGTAGGACTACAGTCTTAATTGTCTTAATAAAAATGTGGTAAATTCACAGAAAATCAGAAACTCGTATCCCATCACTCAAATAGAAGTGAATGCTAATGGAAGTCAAGCCATTATAAAATTTTGTTCTTGTTATGTGCTTTCAAGCTGTTTCCAATTTATGGCAACCCTAAGGCAACCCTAACACAGGATTTTCTGAGGCTGAGAATAGGTGACTTGCCCAAAGTCACTCAATGAGTTTCTATGGCTCAGTGAGGAATTGAACCCTGGTCTCCAAAGTCCTAGTCCAACTCTCAAACCACTGCATCATATTGCCTCTCATTATAGTAATACCCAGTGCTTAATATCTAAAAAGAGATGTTCTGCCACAAAACAAGAGTTTATAAAGTAGAATATTTTCCTTCCAGCCTATGGTCTGGCTGCAAATAATCCATAATGAAAGAATGACATTTTGCACATGTTTAAAGACGCTGCCAGCTTAAGTATTCATAGAATCATAGAGTTGGAAGAGACCACAAGGGCCATCCAGTCCGACCCAGAATTCATTGATATGCAATGTGGCACAGTAGTTTGAGTGTTGGACTGTGTCCCTGGAGACCAGGATTTGATTCCCAACTCAGCCATGAAACCTGCTAGGTGACCTTGGGCAAGTCACACTCTCTCAGCCTTAGAGGATGGCAATGGCAAACCTCCTCTGAACAAATCTTGCTAAGAAAACCCCAGGATATTTCCATACTTCTGGCCTTAGGGCCACCATAAGTCAGAAATGATTTGAAGGCACACGACAACAACAAACAAAAGAACTGAAAAAGTCAATGATAAGAGAGCATGTCAATTCGTATGCTGAAAACATATTTTTTTACAATCAAAGTTTAAATTTGGACACCAATAGCATGAAAGCATAATGTCAGAAGACTGCCAAAGGATCTTGGAAAGCTTTGTTGAAGCACAAAGACATGTGAGAGCTGAAGAAGATACAGAAAAAGCAGAGGAATTAGAGCTAGGTGGATTCCTATAAGCAAGGGGACAAGAGAGAGGCAGACGGACAGAATGAGGCTTAGGCTTTATACAACCTGTGGCTGAGTCCTCCTCATAGTTTCACTGTGGAGTTCTTTGGAAAGCTTCTCTTCTTGCTGGTTTTTGATTCCCTCCACCTTCTCCGCAAGCAGAGAACATAATTTCAGATCAAAGACAAAGCCTTCACTTCCAGCCTGGCTGAAGGCATTAAAGAGGAGTGGCAGAGAAAGTGGTCAAAATAACATCCTTCAAGAAAACAGAACTTGGTAACTCCTCCACCCACCCTCTTCCTACACCACTGGAATATCCAGTTCACACACACTTTCTGATCCCTGGCATGGAATGGCCACCAATTTCATTTTCTTTTGCAAAGTAACCCTATTGCCATTCTTTGGAATCAGCAACCTCTCAGTCCTCTCTTTCTTTCTCTCTTTCCTTCCCATGCAGAATTAGTTCTTGCACATTCCCCTCCTGTTGTATCTCATGAGTCACCAATATTGGGTATTTGCAACCAAATAACCCATGGCTTACACACTTTTTTTTCCATCGCTGTTCAGCTGCTTGGGTTCCTCCTTTCCTTCCCACCTCACCATAACTTCACAAGTCTGTTTTTGGTCTGTCTTTGATATATTTTCTGCACATCACCTGTTTAAACCTGCTATAGTGGGGCCCTCGGGCTTCTGCTAATAATTGAAGATAGAAATAACATCAGCTCTGGATTCCATTGATGCTTCTTTCCCCACATTCCCTAGAAGCAATGGAAAACTATACACACTGCTGCTACTGACATTCTCACACTGTTTTCCTTTGTAAATAGAAACTATATCACTTCATGATGGGAAATGGGGCAGGAGAAGGTGTGAGGACCAAACTGCACATTACACTATATTATGGACTGGATGGGTTTCTTCCATTTCAAAGCCCTCTTGGAAAGAAGATTTTACAGCAGAGAAGACAGATGCTTTCATAGGATGGTAGGCTTTTACCATAAGCCCTCTCTGTGCATAATAATAAAGCACTTAATAATACACAACCTATTTCTCTATTGCTCTTGTTTTTAAGCAGTGGCATCACTAGGGTTGGCAAATAAGCTGGTAAAATGTCGGCTAGACAAAGTAACTGTTACATGGATTTGTAATTGGTTGACTGGCCAAACCCAAAGGGTGCTCAACAATGGCTCCTTTTCAACTTGGAAAGAAGTGACCAGTGGGGTGCCACAGGGCTCTGTCCTGGGCCTAGTGCTATTCAACATCTTTATTAATGACTTGAATGACAGTATTGGGGGCATAGTTATCAAATTTGTAGATGACACCAAATTAGGAGGAGTGTCGTAATACCCCAGAAGACAGGATCAAAATTCAAAATGACTCGAACAGACT